CCAACTCCGGGTGCTAGTGGGCCCACTGCCTTTGGCAACATGTGTGCCACTGTGCATCGCATGACCGCTGCCATTACGGCTGGTATGGCGCTTGTCGCCATGAAGCTGGACGGTCATTCCACCTTCGAGGCGACGTTCGAAAGCGCATACCTGCAGGTAGACGCGTTCACAGCGCTATCTGCGGGCGCCGAGCAATCTCCTGAGGCGGCGACTACAGCAGCAGTACTGGTGGAGGCTGAGGAGCAGGAGGGCTACACGGTGACCAACGCCGTGCAGAGCTATGTGCTGCGGGGGGAAGAACTCAGCGGCCTGGACTGCAGCGTGTACAATATCGTCTCCAGCTATGAGGTTCGACGTGTGCCGCCAGCTCAGCACCCGCACCGAGAGCGATTGGGTCTACAGGTCCCGGTGGCAGTTCGACGCCGCAAGCGCACTACCCCTGCTGCACCCATAACCGCCCCCGTGCCTGCCCCTGTGCCTCTGCTGACTGCAGCCCCGGCCCCTCCTCCTGAGCCACCTGCTCCTACAGCTGCAGCGACACTCGACCATCCAACGTCTCAGACAGCCACGGAGCTGCCCCGCCTGGTGGCCTTCCACGGCACGCATCCGCTGTACAGAACACATGTCCACATCCGCCTACCGCGGCCGCGATATGTACAACTTGGAGGCTCTCTTCCCCGCCGGCCCCGCCCTGGCACCTCTGCTGCGAGCATGGCGCAGTACTACGCGTTTGTCCTGGGTACTTTCAAAGCTCACCGGGGTCAGCCCATCCCCCCCGGGCTGACTGTAAAGGAAGCCTACGACACCTGGTGGGCAGAGCTGGCCACTACCGAGGCAGGTCGCTCATACCAAGCGTACGTAACGGTGCTGCTGGACAACATCGAAGAGGACCACACAGGGAAAGCCCGCCGTCAGGCGGAGTACAACCAGCGGCGCCGCCAGCAGCGTGCGGCGGCGGCAGCAGCCGCGCTGCCTGAAGGTGACAGCACGAGCACTTCGGATGGAGACACCGACGACGCCATCCGCGGGCATCTCAGACCTGATCCTGAAACACAGCCACCCGCCGAGGGTCAGCTGGAGCACTTCGTGTACATCCCGGGTCAGGAGGATCCGACGGCTGGCACCGACCTCGCCGCCGTCGCTCTTACGGATCTGTTTGACTGCACCAACGCTGCTGGCGCGTATGCCTATGATGCGGCACGGCGCTGCCGAGCCCCGGCCTTAGTGGACGGCCATGGTGCACGCAGCGATCGTTTTAGCCGTCGGATCACACCAGCGGACCTGCCCCTCCTGACCGAAGCGAGCAAGCGTCTGAAGCGGTATCTCGTTGCAGCAGCAGCCGGCACTGTTGAGGCAGATGGGGGCGCCCACACGGGACTGACGGCCCCACCTGAGATGGACACCCCTCATATTGAGCTGCACCGCCCCACCAGCGGACCCCTGGTTGCCATTGTGCGCATGCCTGGCACTCCTGAGCGGACTGAGCAGGCTCGCATGCCCATCTATGTGCACCTCCCCCAGCCGCCCAGCATCGACGACACCATCGAGCTTTTCACGCTCGCCCCCCACCAAGCCGTGCCCTTCATGCTCATGGCTCAGTACTTCGATCGCCGTGATGAGCCCAACCCTGGCGACCCGCCGCAGATGCTTGTGGAGGGCAAGCCCGGTACCGGAAAGACCCAGTTTGTACAAGCGCTCCTCTGGTACACTTTCCAGCATGGCTGCCCGCACTGGGCGGCCACCTGTGCCTACTCATGGGCTGCTGCAGTTGCATTCAACACGCCGGTGCATCGCAGCCTCTCTACCCACGCAATGTTCGCCCTATCTGCTGGCAGCAACCGAGCGGAAAGCGTCAGAAAAGGCAGCGCAGCCAGCCTACAGGTGCATCGCAATGTCGGCGATGGTGCGCTCATCATTGACGAGATCGGTATGAACAGCCTGGACCATCTGGGCGCATGCAACCAGTCTTGCACTCGTCACCTGTTGCCGCCGTCGCATCTCGCTCGTGACCACCCTGCAGCCACCATCTTCAGCGGCCGCCCCAGCGCCAACACGGGCGACGAGTTCCAACACCCGAAGCCAGGTGGGCCGCCCCTCTACCGGTACGCCGCTGATGTAGAATGCAACCCCCAGTTCTCGCCCTCCGTCCCGGCCGCACAGCCTCTGCACGGAGAGGAGGACAACGATGGCGACCCTAACGAGGCCGCTGCTGGATCCCAAGGCGGTCAGCAGCAACCCGAAGTAGCAGCACGCCGGCCCCGGGCCGTCCCACAGGCTCAGAGCTGCATACTCGAGGGCTTCCGGGTTTACCGATCCCTGGCTAAGACCGTCTTCTTGCTGGAGAAGCAGCAGCGCCAGGACAGCAGTCCCTCTGGTCGTCGCCTGACAGAGTACGCCTCTATGTTCGGCGGTGAGCCAGCCACAGAGCAGCGCATAGCCGAAATGGTTGACGACCTCAACAGCCGCGCCGTCGTCGACTTAGCCGACCTAGCGCACCTCGAGCCGCGCGTCGTGCTGCAGAGGAACGAACCACGCCACACGCTCAACACCCGCCTCATAATGCTGGAAGCACAGCGCAAGAACCAGCGCCTCGTGGTGTGGAATGCGGACCACGTCCCTGTCCAGAAGCGCGGCGCCGCTGTAGAGCCAGCCCTGACACACGTGGAGAAAGCAGTTGCGATGCGAATAAAGGATTACGACTTTGGCCACACCACCGCCGACACGTGGTACTACCATGGCGCCCGATACATCCTCCTTGATACGACGGCTGCCGATGCCGGGGCGAGTCACAACAACGAGGTGGAAGCCTGCGGCCTGCTTGAGGATGGCCGCGAGCCAGCAGATGACGGCCACGGCCCCTACCGCCGGCTCAAGTACCTTCCAGCGGCCGTCATTGTGCGGCCTATAAACGGCCATATCCCCGACACCGTGCTGCGGGGCCTTGCAGACTACGCCAGCAGGGGTGGCGCCTTCATCCTGTCACCCCGGGCGTCTTGCATTGCCGAGGTGGAGATGCCCGCCCCCGGGTGTGGCACCCTCACAAAGCAGGTCCGGCGCCTCAACGTACCGCTCGGCGACCGCCAGGCGGTCACCGATTACTTCGTACAAGGCCGCAGCTTCAAAGATGAATGCTGGCTGGTGGATCTTGCTGCCCCACCCAACGGCATCAAGCGTGCCACCCTGTATGTGCTGCTGACCCGCTTTAAGACGTTGGACCACGTCCGTCTGCTACGTCCACTTTATACCACGCCACACGAGCGCAAGAAGGTCATCAAACAATTCCTCAGCGCAACCAAGCTCGAGCCGGATCTGGCCGCCAACCTGCGCCTGCTGAAGCAGGCAGCACGCGAAACGGAGCAGCGGTACACCACCGAGTTCCAGCATGCACGCCAGTTGGAAACCCGCTGGACCCGCTAGTTGACAGTTGACAAGGCTAGTTGACAGTTGAAGCCACGACCCGCCACTGTACGGCGTTAAATGACAGCGTCCGGGGTAAGGGGAATACCCCGGACGACACGCTCGCTCCCTACGGGAAGGAATGGGGAACTGCCCATCAATGTCTGTGTGGAGCCCCCTGCGGGTTCGAGTCCCGCGCGAGCGCTTCAGCGCGGGCTACCCTCTGCAAGCTCAGCCTCCTTCCGCCTTCGTATATATATATACTTGTTGTGTTGTGTGTGTGACCGATACGGCCCTCAGCAAAACAGCATATAGTGGCCCGCGCGATTCAACGACGGAGCTACGGCCCTCTCGCGCGAACAGCGCGCTCTAGTCGTTCCGTCTCCGTCCGTCTGTCCACCAAGTCGTCGGTTCAATCCACCGCGATTTTTTTTATGTTTTTTTCGCTGCGACGTTTCTTGTTTTATTTAGTTTTTTTTTTCGTTGCTCGCATTTATATTGTTTTAATCGCATTTCACGGCTCGACGGCATTTCACGCCTCTGCGCGGCTCAACATCTCTCCTTCCCCGATTCCCCGGACGCCTCTGCACATCTTGCCTCGCTGCTCCGCCAATGGACGTTGCTCGCGTTTATATTGTTTGGATCGCATTTCACGGCTTGACGGCGTTTCACGCCTCTGCGCGGCTCAACACCTCTCCTTCCCCGATTCCCCGGACGCCTCTGCACAGCTTGCCTCGCTGCTCCGCCAATGGACGTTGCTCGCATTTATATTGTTTGAATCAGAATCGCGCATTTCACGGCTTGACGGCGCTTGGCTTTGCTCTCTTGTTGAGTATGCACGCTTAGCTGCGCGTGTCCGACTTTCTTTGTGTGCACGTCTCCGCGTGGGCGTCTGTTGCAGCATCGACTTTGCTTTTCATCCGGCCCCCGGCTGGACCATGCGCGTTTTATGCTCCGGCTGCTGCGTCCTTTTGCGTCGGCTTTTGTGTTCTCGGATTCTGCGTGCGGATGGAATGTGTTGGATCGATAACCTTCCTGCGACTTTTGGCTTTGCGATCGTCTTTGCGATCCTAGCTGCCATAACATTTATCCGCTGTTTTGGGCTTTTCGCAGTGCGTATTCTTGTGCGTCCAACTCCCCGCTTTGAGCTTCGCGTGATGAATCTTGCGTGTTGGGCTCGTTCTGCGCTTTCGGCTCTGTGCGTTCGACTTTCCGTACTCAGCCGTTATCGCACTAAAACTTGATTCGACGCAACCGACTGTAACCGTCGCGGTCCGGCTTTGCGGCCTAACAAGGTATAGGCTTTATGAGCTTCGCTTTTTCCGTCCTCAACTACGCGTCTTCGTGGGAGTCGTAGCCGCCGTGGTACAAACGAATGTATTTCGCGAATGTTAGCCCAAGGCCGGTGACGTCTGGCGAATGAAAACCGACTTATGAGAACAAGGTTGCATCACGTCAAGGTTGCGCCTGCGAACGTTCGCTATAGGAGGTATAAAATCCNGGGGCTGCCTGTAATA